GACACGCATACAATTTTCTGATTTCCTAAAACTATTTAAATTCCTGATAAATCTACTGCTGTTATCATTAAATACATTCATAGATTTCAGCCTAATGAGTGGGCACAGATACACTGCTCAGGTACTAGAATAGACCCACTGTAATCTAAATATGGCATTTTATTAATGCCCTGTGTCAATTTGTGATAAGGGAGGGGACAGAAGACCTATAGATAAGTTCCTGAGCATTTAGATTATTTTAAAAAGTAATTACAGAGTTTATGCAAAGTCTTTACAAACAAAGGTCCCACATTCCTAATGCGACAAAGCCCTGGTTTTATCCTGTACATTGCAGACTGACACCTCTAGCTCTATAGAACAAGCATTGCTAATCCATAATATGCTCATGAATAAATAAATTTTTAAAAAGTTGTATCTGCTGTGAATTTTTTTTTCAAATTTCACCTAATTTGGTGACTGCAGAGCTAGTTATCATTCTTAAGTTTGAGGAATAATAATTTCTCAGCTAAATGTCTCTTCTTGGAAATCATGGGATTTGTATCTTACTCCTTGCTTATCCAGACGGGAAAATGTTGTGAATGTTTAAGACTCACACAGTACAGAAGCCACCTTGAAAGATTTCAACACTGTTAAGGCAAATTCATTTTCCAATTTCAAGAAAGCATGACAGCTGTGTGTTGAGGTACCTAGGTAAAAGCACACTGAACTTTCTGTTGATATTTTCTTTCAGACTCTAGATTCATGATTTTAAATCTTTGGATACAATTTCTACAATTTCTTAAGTCAGTATTGTTTCCTCTGCTACCCTTCCACCTTAGGGGTATTTCCCCCCTCAGTCTTCAGCATTTTTCATCACTTCTGCTTCCAGAAGTGTTTATGCAACCATTCTGCAAAAGAGATAAAGGAGATGACCTGGCTTAAAAAAATATTCTTGCTGTTACTTTAAAATATCCAAAATTTCACTGTAAAAGCCTTGTTATGCTTTTTCAAACCAAGTGTGTTCCCTGTCTGCTTAACGCCACAGCCAGAAAACTAGTTGGGACAGCACTACCCAGCCACACAAGGCCAGGGATGAGCAGTCAGGGAAGGGGAATGAGTGTGGTAATGCCTCAGTCTACTATTGCAACTAAAGAGTACAGGTCCTGAAGAGAGAGGCTGAAATTACTTCCTTGGTGGCATCATACTGGCCCCTCCAAGCCTGGGATAGGAAACCTTTTCTGCTCTGAGGAGGAGACAGAAGTGTAATGCACATGCTGAGCTACTTTTTATGCCTAAATAAGTCATGGCCTTCACTGTGAATACATTTATATATAACCTTGGGTTGTGTGACACAGCTGTTGGTAGCTGTGAACAAAACTGATAAAACTGCAAGCAAACAAAAAAAATCTTTAAAACAGGACTTGTTAATCCGTGATCTAGAACTTGAGCCTTTGCCTTGAGTTATCAGTATGTTTTTCAGAACAGGTTGATGATTTAACCTATCTGAACAAGTTTACTATGGTAAAGGACAGGAGTCTTTCTAAAATGTAAGCAGCAGCAGAAGATAAACATCTTCATTAACTTGAAACTCCCCAAGAAGGTACACATGAAACAGAAGGGATAGTTTATAAGATTACACATTTCTTAGGTATTGTTCCTTTAAGGGAAACCTTCTAGGGTGAAGGGTTTGTATAAATTTGTATCCACATCACCATGGCTGGTTAAGTGATTTGACGTCTTTATAGGAAAATGATGGAGAGTCAGTTCACAGAGAGATGCAACTCTTCCTCTAAACCTCTCCTTAGATGTAACAAAAAAGTTGCACAAATTTGATTTGTGAAATTGAATTACTCTACTTTTATTTTAACCTTTGTCTGGTGCCAAGGGTAATTTCAATATTAAGACCTGTAAAAATATTTTCCTCACTTTCCCATTTCCATACTTTGGAGTTTCTTTTCTGAGTGGCATATAAATTGCTCCATATTTTATAGTTTTAGTTTTGCTACCTAGATAGAACTCAAGGTCTATCTAAGCCAAAGTTTTATTTTTGTCCTGATGTCAGAAATATCTTATTAAAATCCTATGTCTTCTTGTAGTAGAACTGTCCTATCTGGCAATATTTTTCTGATACCTATTAGTAAGAGAGTACCCGGAGGAACACCATGTCATTGCAAACTGCAGAGCTGAAGAATTTAGGAAGAGACAACAGTGGAGTTCCCAAGGCAAAAAAAGAAGTTAATTTTGTCATTACTTACTTTGAAACTTTTATGGAGAGACACAGTGATTTCTTTAGAAGTTTCTTATCAGAAACTGCTTTAGATTTCTGGAGCTCAGTCCCTGGGGATACTTCACACTTTTCTTGTAGTAGAGTGTATTTCACAACTAAAATTGTCTTTAAGTATTACACAGCAAAGCAATAATAACTGGGTACAAAGAGTTACCTGCCACACAGTTTTTGATGCTCAAAGAGTTCATCCCAAACTGCCTTCTAACTATGTAAGAGCTCACACATCCTTGCTGGAAAGACCAGCTGGTCAGGTAGATTCTCTCAGAAAGTGAGTTGGGGTGGGAAATATTAAAAAAATATATATTAAAAAAAGAGGAAGGGGATCAACGGTTTTCTCAGATTTTAATAAAAACTCTTCCACTACTACATGCTATGATTAGCTGCTAGCCTGGTGCTTGCTGGCGTAACTAACATGTTGTGCAACTAAACATGCTATGAATATTTAGCAGGTTATACCACATTTATGCAGTTTAGGTGACCCCTGGCAGGCCTACACAATCTTTTAAGGATGGTTGAGTACACACAGACTTTTCCATGAGACCTCTGGCAAGTGAATCACAGTGAAACCATCAGTAGGATTTGCAAACAAGAGTTTCATGCAAGAGCAACCATTATTCCACAAAGCAGGAAGCTTTCCTGTAAGGTACCGACCCCTTGCATGGTGAAGCCAGTGATGAGTGAGACTCTGATGGACACTGGGACTGAGACACTGATGGAGTGGGAGTACATCCAACAGCCAACAGTATGAATTCCACAGCTTGTAGCGATATACACCAAAATGAAAAATAGGCAGATATCCATCTTCCAGCTTTGAACACCTGCAGGTGAAGCTGTAACAAATTGATTAGTAGGTTGTTTGGGTTTTTTTCCCCTTGTCTAATCAGCTGCAGTAAATCGATTGTGCCTTCTAGAATCCAAAGCAGGATAAGACAAGTTTCTGACTTGATTCGATTTCATTATTTAGTTTAAAAACATCAGCCAAAGATACTTTAAATGAAACATTTGTTGAAATAGTTTGCTTTGTTTCATAAATGTTAATATCATCTGTATGAACATTATATGTAATTATGAGTAGTGTTTCTTGAAAAACACAGGATTTTTCCTGCTCTAATAGTATTCTAGGACTATATTTATATCATTTTAGTAAATGATATAACTAAATACAACTAAAATTGTAGATGTAAGTGCACAGAATATAATGACTGCAGCTTATTGGCATTCCTCACTTTAAATATCAAATTACAGAAATTGCTTGGCTGGTTTATATTAAATAACTGGAACAGTGTTTGTGCTTAGCTAAAAAATAATCCTTTTCAACTGTAGGAAATACTGTTGTGATCCAATTTATTGTGATACTTTTAGATAACGAGACTAGTACATCTAAAGACACATTCTCTGCATTTCATCTGAATCTCTTTTTATATAATTTGTAAATGCAACGACATACCTAACACCTTGAAAAGGGTGAATGTGACAATGGTTTTTGTAGAATGGTTTTGCTGCATTAATACAAATTTCCATTGGCTCCTTTTCTATGTGTTACCCAAATAAACATCTGTATCAATGTCTCACATTATTATTCTCAGTTCAAGCAAGACATGGCAGAATTACCTTGAGCCCGCTATATAATCAGGACAGCTGTGAACCCCACAAGCATTTGCCACCATGGGACAAGGTTAGATGCCTTGTTTCCAGTCTTTTATCTACATATTTCAGTTGTGAGTGCAGAGAACCAGACAACTCAAAACATAATCCAGACTAGCCAGGTGCCAGAGCACAGTGAGGACCAGAGCTGCTCCTCAGTTTGTTTGGTTTTGCATCCATAACATCCTAATCTAGATACAAGAATGTTGTATGAAAGAGTGTTCATAGCCTTACCAGACTCACGATATAGTCTATGAATGAAAATACAAATGCAAAGGTAAAAAGTAGTTTAAAAATTTAAAGGTTAAGACAAATCAGCGTTGGCTGCTTAGTTCTGCAGCCCTTATGCTATGTTTGCATATTAATAGCTGTTCTGAGAATCACCAACTTGATACTTCATAGAACCAAAGAATCATAGAATTATTTGATTGGAAGAGACCTTTAAAGGTCATGTAGTGCATCCCCCCTGAAATAACCAGGAACATCTTCAAATAGATCATGTTGCTCAGAGCACCATCCAGTGTGACCCCAAGTAATTCCAGGGATGGGGCATCCACAGCCTCTCTGAGCAATCTGTTCCGGTGTTACACCACCATATGAAACCAATTTCTTTCTTATCTAGTCTTAATCTACACTCTTTCAGTTAAAAACCATTACCTGCTGTGCTATTGCTACAGACCCTGTTAAAAAGTCCTACCCCATTCTTCTTATAAGCCTCATTTTAGTATTGAAAGGTCACAACAAGGTCTCACCAGAGCCTTATCCTCTCCAGGCTGAACAACTCCAACTCTGATAATTTTTGTGGCTCTTCTCTGGACTCACTTCAACAGGTCCCCATCCTTCCTGTGCTGGGCCCCCAGAGCTGGATGCAGCACTGCAGGTGGGTCTCACCAGAGTAGAGCTGACGGGCAGAATCCTCTCCCTTGACCTGCCGCCCACACTGCTTTGGATGCAGCCCAGGACACACGTGGCTTTCTGGGCTGTGAGTGCACATTGATGGCTCATGTCCAGCCTCTCATCCAGCAGCTCCCCCAAGTCCTTCTCAGCAGGGCTGCTCTTGATCTGTTCATCCCTCAGCCTGTGTTGATACCTGATACCCAGGTGCAGCTCCCTGCATTTGTTCTTGTTAAACCTCATGAGGTTCCCATGGGTCCACTTCTTGAGTTCATCCAGGTCCAAGTGGAATGCATCCCACCCCTCAGATGTGTCAATGGCACCACAAGGCTTGGTGTCATCTGAAAACTTGCTGAGGGGGTGCTCAATCCCACTGTCCATGTCATTCATGAAGGTGTTAAACAGCATTGGTCCCTGCACTGGTTCCTTGTCTTAGAATACTTGTTGTGACAACTTTAAGGAGCTTATTTTAAGACAGATTCTTCATATGAAATCAAATAAAATGCTTCTGAGTTCTCTAAGCTCTTATCTTACTGCAATTTGTGTTTTTCATGCAGTACAGAAGTAATTTTCTAACTTTAACCAGTAAATTCTGTGTCTTTTCTGTTTTCTTCCCACTCTTCAGTTTTCTTAAATAACAGCAGTATCTAAGAACATTTCTCACATTCATCTCCAAATGCTATATGAATAATCCAGTTTCAAATCTGACTGTGGCCAACTGTCCCAGGATAGCAGTACAAAGAATCTGGAGTAACTTCGATGTAAGCTACAGAGTCATATCCCTTCCTAAATCTAAATTTGCTTGATAGTTTAGAGATGTAGCTATAGTCAAATTCAGGAATAAATCCTTTGTTCCTTTCATCTTGAATCTCAGTGCTTGCTTGGCACAAAGTGGTTTCTGTGGGCAATGGATATTGAGTCTCACCAGCAGGCAAGCTGAAGAGTTAATTCACTGTTGTGAAGGTCTGTAACATTTCTCCAGAAGATCTGCAAAGGTTTGTGGTATATTCCTTTGGTTTTTAACTTTCTTATTCTGTTTCTGGATGAAACCGGTAGACATCTGCAAACTAAAATTATTATCTGATAAACTGGATTAATACAAACCAGACTCATAAGTGCTTGTCCTAACTGTAACTTGACAAATTGAGAGTGAATATAGATTTAAGGGACAACAAGATCATGAAATTGTAAAATAGTCACCAACTTAGGTGACTATCGAAGTCCAACTGTTCACCTACTAAATTGCTTCTTTTCATTTAATTAGTAGCCATTCTTTTAATTTTCCATAAAATCATCTGCACTTTTATTGAGAAAGAGGATGATGAAATTTAGCTTAGAATCCACCTAAGGATAAAAAGAAGGATAAAATGTTCCACACTCCATCTGTGTATTAAATTTTTAAACTTTCTTCTCAAGTTCCTAGGTGATAGCTTTGAATACTGGCATAAATCTCTTATTAAGACTTCATAAATCACGCAGTCCTTTCTAGAAAACTTTTAAGATTGGAATGCCAGCTAATAAAGTCTCCAAAACTTACGTAGCACTGATCATCCCCCAGAAATGAACAAGGTTATATAAATGAGCAGTCTTCTGTTCCTGACTCACATTAGTAACAATGCAATCCAGATCTGTGTATGAATTTATGGAGGACTTCCACTTCTGACAGGCAGTTTGGTTACAGCACCTCTTTTGAAGACCTACCTGAGACCTGACGAGAAAAGCTGCAGTCATTCTGTGCCAGCTGGCTTCCATTTTCCCTAACACTTTCCTGATACATTTAATTTATTGACTGCCTCTGAGTATACTTCTTGTGACCTGCAGTAGTCCTCAATGGTGCTTCAGGGTGCTTTCACATCTATAGGACGGGGAAAGGGAAGAGGTTCACAGGTTTCTTCTGAAAGGGACATGGCTTTGTGCATGCTTAAGTGACCTAAAAAGTTCCCCTTGTCAAAATGATCTCTGCATAGTAGTGTAAAAGTATTTCCCAACTACTAATTCCCTAAACATACCCCAGGCTGCAAGTCCCATAAGACTTCCCTACATTGCCCTCTTTCATTATTCCTTGACACTGCAGAAGTGAAGAACATGAGTATGTTGGCATCGCTCAGGTAGCAGAAATCCTCTTGTCCAATGTTGACTTCATACTCATACACTAAATATTATATAAAACACTAATAATAATAAATAATGGCCCATCTTCGCGAACGAAGATTTGGGGAAAGGTCTTTTACCTTTCCAGCCTGCGCAATGGATTTTTTAGGTGAGACACAGCCTGCGCTGAACTGAGCCCACCCTTTAATCCTAAGGTTCATCTGCCGGGGCCAAGCAAGCTTGGACAATGGCAGTGAGGTCCTCAGGACGTAGGTTTGTTTAGAGTGTCCTTCTCATAGATGGATGGCCACACAGGGCTAACGACCTCCATCAGGCCAGGAGACCGGGATTTGAACTCGTGGTCGCAGCAGTGAAAGTCCTGCACGCTAACCACTAGGCCACCAGGGGTCTCATATAAAACACTAGTCCTGCAGAAACTGTGTGATGCTCAGGATGTCTGATGTGTTACAGGCTTTCTACTGAGGGCAGACAGTACTAATCATGATGACAGAGTTGGTAATAATCTGTTTTGCTTGGACAAAGCTGAATCAGTTTATCCTCTATTCCTCTTTTTTTAGTGAGGCTTCTGGGTCACAGTCCCAATGGACTGCTCCAGCAGCCACTACATAAATACTCTTTTCACATGGCCACATACTGACATTGTTAAGAAAGAAGTCCTAGCCCTGAGAGTATCTGCTAAGGGTATGTTATCAGCGGAGGGGCTTGGAGACAGATTGTGCACAGACCAATGTGGTCAACAAAATGTCCGATTTATTACAAGAAGAATGCTCATTATATAGTGTTACAACACCTCAACGTGTGATTCTTCTTCACACAGCATTGGATACATAAGAGAAACATACTTTGTCTTCTGGTGTTAATTGGAGCATAGCAGGTGTCCATAAGAGATGAAAAAACTTGTTTACCTGCCAAAACTCCTCCTTGACCTTGGCAGGGAGCCTTCTTTGTTCTAACTTCAGAGCCCGCAGCCATGTTAGCTACGCAGCTTTTTTGCTGTTTGTGCTTTAGTTTATGCCAAGGCAAGACCCTCAAAACGCAGGACAAATTGCTCACTCAATTTTGCCTTGTCCACAGTACATATAATCTTTCTTTATGTAATTGGCTTAACCAAGATCATCTTAACAGAGTAGGATCCAATTGAAGAAGTTTTTATCATGTTATACCTGTGGAATGAAGTCTGGAGTTACAAATTATTTAGTCCATTCTCACATATGGCTCCTTTTAAACAAAAACAGTTGATCTATACACGGCAATAACGATTCAGGAAAAGAAGGGAACAATTTCCATAGGTTTATGCCAAGTTGTAAATACTATCTGCTTCTGAGAAGCATTCCAAATTGCAATCTGGTTGGTATGGGTTTTGATAATGGATCTCTTGAAAAATTATCAGAGATCTTTTAATGACAGTAAGCTGTCAGGCCAAACTGTTGGGCCCTGTCTTAAAAATTGCACCCTCTAAACTGTATCTTCCTTTGAATTTTGCACAACTACACATGGCCAGAAATGTATTAGAAATTAAATACCCCTTTGGAAATATCTAATAACCTTTCATTTCATACTCATTTTATTCCTCTTATTTCTGAAGATAAGAAGAACCCTTCTTGTTTCTCACAGAGCTAATTTAGTAAAGAAAATCATGTTCTAGTTCAAATTCTAATACAAAAGAAGAATATTTGAAGTGAAGTTGAAAAGGTGAGGAAGAGCAAAGAAATACTAAATGACAGTTATATAAGAGTAGTTTTCTGCCATAATTTCTTTTTTCTTTGTCCATGCATGTTGGTGGCATAACATACCCAGAGCTGTGCTGTTGTGTTTTGCTGGTATAGCTTTTCCAGCCGCTAGCATATCAAGTAACTACCATTCTATGGAAATCTTTTTTTTCTGCTTAATTTTCTACTGTATTGAATTAATTTTTTTTTTTACCTTTTGCTCCACTTTTTCTCAGCTTGATATTTGTACTAAATTCCTACTTTTTTTTTTGCTTCCATTCTAATGATATTGTTGGTTCACTGTCGTGCTATAACAATGTTTCATGGTTGCTAGAGGATTTTTCGTTTTCCTGTCACTCATGGAATTTAATTTTTTTTTAAAATAAAAGCACATTTCATCCATAGTTATTAGAATGTGTACTAGTTTTGTAGATGTGTGTTTGCAAAACTTAGTTTTCTCTGATTGATAGATTCAGGATGGTATACCTCATGTTACACTTCAAAAATCAAGTTACAAAATTTTTCCTTGGCTACCACCTGTTATCTGACAGATTTGGATAGCTGCTATTGTTGATCTCTGTGAAGGGCTGCATCTTAGTCCTATGGGAAAATATATATAATTTGAGTGCTGTTCCCCAGAACATATGAATGAGGCATATATCTTATGAGAGGTTTTGTAAGCATTAGAAATATCAGGAAGAAAATTTGCTATGTAACTTATTATGTATTATCTGTTTCACCAGTGTACAGTGCTTAATCTTGTAACCTGCTATATAAGAACCTCCCATATAGGAATTCTGACCAAGCAATTTCCCATCTATCTTAAAATAGGGTATTTTGAAATGAAATGTCAATATAATTAAACTACAACTTACCAGTGTTTGAATGAACTCAGGAGATCTTTTGAAAATCTGTATGCTACTGGCTCTTTGAAGCTACTTAATATAATTGAAATCAGTGACCAGGGGATCCTAGAAAATCTGGCCTTTTTAATTTGTTTCTGTGGATTTTAGTAAGTTTGTTGCTTTATGAATGAAGAATCCAGTCCTTGAATCCAAATTCTTGAAGATCCTCAGTAAAGCCATGGACATCCTGTTGCAGGCGTGCCCAAGCTACTCAAAAGTCTCTATGGTAACAGAATCTTTGAAAAACAAGGACAATTAGATGAAGGAAAACACCCCTCAAAAAAACTTGGGAAGTCTAGTCTTCTTTAGGCCAATGACTCTTTGAAGGGAAACCATTGTGCAAAATTACACACCACAAACATTCGAATATTCTGCAGATGCACTGGGTGGGAAGAGGATGCAATTAGCTGCAATTTGCTTATAATACTGACTTTCTTAAGAACTGCCTGATATATTACTTAGTTGTTTATAGAAATGAAATGATCTATTAACAGACTTTCAACTGGATTTCTTTGCATATGACCTATGCATGAAATCTTTAATTATAAGTATGCTTTTTAAGTTTGTGCTGTTCCATCTTTATAGGAATTATAGGACAAATAAAGATTTGATACAGATAAACTATGAGTCTCCCTTTAATTTACTTAAAATAAAT